TCGTTTTACCGTTTATAGTTACGTTAGATTTTCATATCCAACCAATTCATGCTTATTGACTTTTATCAAACTTTTTATTCATCTGTTTTAAAACAGGATAATTCTATGTGAAAAGAATATTGAACCATAATGAAAAATATCACTTACTATATGTATTAATGAAATTACCATCATAAGGGCCGAGTTGTTTTGCCTCTGTTTTTTTTTACATATCCTTTGGATGTATGTAAATGTTCACAACTCGTTTTTACAAACTAGCCGAGCTGTCAGGGAGACTTAACTAGGCGTAGCGTTAGAAGGTAGACTTGGTACAGTCCCAGACTTTTTGCTACAACGTAGTCGGCATCTTCAGTAAGTCTTGTCATTCCTAACACAAAGCTACAACTTGTCAAGAGACATGTGACGTCGATCCCCTGACCAATGTGACTATAGACAAGTCAGAAGTTGTAATAGAATGGGAGTGAGATAAGAGGGCAAGGAGTAGATAGATGGGCTAATACAGAAAGAGGAGTTATAGAAAAACAGTTTCGACAGAAAGTTGGAGAACGATTAATTTCACTTGTTCCTTTGTTGAGCTGTAGCTTTGTGCAGAGAATGGCATGACTCATTAACGAGTCAAGTCCACGGATTGACGTTGGGAATTATGATAACTATTATAGCAGTGTACTTCGGACAAGGTGTGTCCAACTAAATCCTCCTGACAACGCGACCAAGTTGCGAAAATAGGGTCAGATTACTTCTTGTATTTTCTTATTGATGAATTTACACATACTTTTTACATAGTCTCAATTCTTAAAACTACTCTCATTCATGGAGTACTGCAGTTTTAATACCGCCTGGGTCAGACCACCATCCATAGAAGAACTTAAACCCGGATATGTAGCATATACTCTTGACACGTTACCATTACGCCACTCCGCTAGGTCAAAAATAAGATGTAATTTTCAAAAAAGGTTGGACTATTAATGTATAACCTTCATTTTATATGATTGTCGGTAAAGCAAACGTGCACTTATAATTACCATCGTCTATACTTTTATATTTTATTGATTAGTTTTCGAAACTAAAGTTCTTCTGTCAGTTTCGAAAACCTACTCGCATTGGGTATAAGTAATAAATTTTATAGTAATAACAGATAAAAACTTTCTTCTTCGATAATACCGCTAAAAATATGATTAATTCAATGTCTGTCCTTCTTGAAATTTGGGTCTATCCTGTAATGAATCAGCCCTCATTGCTGTGCGGCTTAATGATAATGCGTTGTGACTATACGCTGCAATATTTGGGTCTGAGTTATGCGAAGGGTGGTGATGAGACTTAGCAATGATCGAAACCACACCCCACCTGCATTCTTAAAATAAATTAAAGTCGCTCTTAAGATTTTTATACTTTTGCTAAAAGCAGAATCTTGCCACTTATCCTAATAATTCAAGAAATTTTAATAATACATTCGAGCCTAATTTTAATTTTCTCTAATAATTTGCAAGATTAAAATAAAATATCCGTCTTTCATCTATTATCATTTGATCTAATATAAAGTATTAGAGACAACAACCTAGCGTTTGTACTTGAACTTTATTTAAAACATGCTTGCTAGTTAGGCACACAATTACATTTTTTTCTCTGACAAAATTTGATATGAATATTCTTAAAAGAGTTGTTAGACATACTGTCAAGATATATGTTAGAAAATTTCATCGATACTGCTTCTACGTGCTTGAACAAAATTAGTCATTTATTGACTTAAAAGGACACTACTCCATATTGATTCATAATTTTTCAATAAATCCAAGAGCATGATCAAAGGAATGATACATAAAAATGACTACAGGAAATTGTTAAAAGATCAAGTTATGATAGAGCTAATACTTATGGGTGACAATTATAAATAATGAATTGATGACCAAATTCATTTAAATATATATTATTTATTGGGTAATTATGTCAATATTATTAATAGATGAATATATAGAGCAATAAGATTATTATTTAAGTTAATACACAATGTGCACAAGGGCTCAACATATTTAAATCCAAAAATTAGAAATGGAATAATAAGCCTGTCCTTACAATTTTGGTTGTAATTTGTTGTAATGGTCAATATTTCAAAGATATGCAAAGCCTCGTTAATTATATAATATAAATAAATTAAGTATTGTTTTAAACTTGTACTGCTTAAGCTCTATTTGGAATAACAAATAGGTAGATCGGATGTACTGATCATAAATTTTATTCATGCTCATTGGACTAGTATCTAGATCAAACAATTAGATAACTCACTAGAGCCAATTCCACAATTTAAGTCACCAAAATTTCAATTCCCGTTTATAAAGCTGCTTAGAAGAGGTTCACCTCTACAAAATATAATATGTCTCTGAAAATTTTGTTTTCGATTAGGAAAAATCACTTGAGTAAATATAAATAGAGTAATAATTTTAGATCAGAATAGTAATAACTCTTAAAAGATATGAATATTTTTGTCTATACTTTCAGAAATATTAATATTTATAACAAATAATTTGCTATAAAATAGTAGTTAATTTATATTTTAAATTTGACCTTGTTTTTTCATCAAAGCTCACATATGTATATTAAATCGAGTATTATTGTAGGATCATTCACTTGAGTTTCATTTTCATTCACCTATTTTCAATAAGTCTATTCGAATTGGGTTTATAATTATCATTAGGTTAATCATCTATTAGTGATAAATTTTATTTAGATCAACAACAAAAGATCAAGAAATTCTAAATTGAAATCTTGATGGTCATTACTACTTTCTTCTTCTGAAAACATGCCCTGTCATATTCCTAAAAGTTTAAAAAAAATAATAATAGGCATGGGTAAAAGGAGAATTAACAAATCCTCTTGAGACTTTTCTCATATTTTCTATTTTATAACCTCTTCTAATGAAAGAAATACAGTTAACTTAATAAGTTTCGTTATTGTGTATATTTTTTTTCTTTAGGCCAAAACAATGCTATTTTGCTGCCGGAGAATGCCTTACGAAGGAATTCGGTCCTTTCTTCAATTTCTACTCCTAATAGGATCCCAGGAAATTCAGACTTCTCAAGAAAGGAGTGTAATTCCCTACTGAAGAGCCAGTGTGATACAATGTTCGAAATGGATGGAAAGAATATCCCTAACTTGGAAGACCATGAGAACATTCTCTGTCCACTCCCAGCTGAGGATATGAGGATCAAAAATATGAATGGGGAAGACCTTGTTTCGCCTAATCGGACTCAAAATGAACCGGAAAATGACGCATTAAAGCTTAAAATCGGAATAGAAGAAGAGACTATTAGTTTTAACCTATACGAAAACTCTAACGAGAGGCGACCTTGCGATTTGGGTAGAGAAGCCGTATTCAGCCAGCTAGGACAATCTTCCTTCCAACTTTACTCATCTGGTCGATCTTCACGAGAGCGCTCTATCATTTCCCTATCAGATGGATCTGATCATCCAGCCATTCGTTTGCCTTCTCCAGAATTCGAGCCGGATAGTATAGAGGGAGTTAGGTCATTGCAACCAGCCCCATGGGAGAGCTTTATGTCTGGGAAATGTCTCAAGCTTCCTGGTGTTGATCTTAGTCAGCCGTATCTCATGACGCAAGGCAACATGCACAGCTCAAGTTTGTCCGTTGACCGGGTCCCACCTCCAATCTGTTCCAAGTCTAGCTCAAGGAATTTAATTATCACTCCATCGGCACATTCACCTCACTCCCTACATGCCTCTCAACAAGGCTTGAATGAGCTTTCTGCCCAAAATGAGGAAGATAAACACAATAGTTATGGCGGTTACACTGTAGAAGATGGTTCTGATGCACAGACACTCCACTTTAAGCAATTTGTCTTCGAAACAAACTCAGTTGGTGTAGCCTCAGCTCCATAATTTATGGACAGAAACATGATTGTGAACAAGTGTTAGTCATATTTTTCGCCAAAACGCAGGCATAGTGTTTACGCGAGAGGATGTAAAAGCGCCATAGGGGACCATGTGGAAAAGATGGTGAATCAATTAAGTCCTGCATCAATTTTCGCATCTTCTGTTCTGCATAAACTTACGCACCCATCCCTTTAACAATGTTCATCCAGCATCTGTCTTCCCTGTCAATGTAAATTTATCTCAAAAATCCTTATGTATATAGTTATGCATTTATTTTGCAAAAACCTTCTCTGCTAAATGACCTTTATACCGCATATAATATGAGAAATGATTACGAGTAAATGTAAAGATGTCTGAATGGTTTATATTTGTTCGCCTTTTAGTAAATAATAGTGGCAAAACGTCCTTTCAATTTTGCACTTTTGAAACTACTTTACCAGATAGAAACATATGGAATAAAATGTGCTTGACTTTCAATCTAAGCCACAATTAAATATGACTTTTGACCAGGAAAGTGTTCTTAACTCATAAGTCGCCTTTAACATTTGTAGATATAAAAGTAGTAGTGGAAGCCAATAGAAAAAGTAGTTTTCAATTGATATTGCTCTAGGATAAAGAAAGCTCTTATTTCACCAATTTTGACAACTGTACAACATGAATAATGATCATTATATATTAATTGCTATTGTAAATAAAGAACTCATGCTTAGATATATATATTTAATATTTTTTGGTGTTTAACGGTAAATAATACTTAATAGTCATTTGAAAGCAAACTTTGAAGCATAAACTCTGTCACAAAAATTACTTTCCAGTATTCACGTCAGGTCCTAGCAAGCAATCCATTCATAACCAGTGAAGACTAAATATTTGTAAGGCATATAAATGATGTTAAGGACTTCTTTACGTGTAACCTTCATTAGTTCACTTGGCTCCACTGTTTTCCTAATTAATGCGATGAAATTTGATAATAAGTAGATTTAATTCTTCTTTAAGATTTAGCATAAGCAATAATCTTATAAGGTAAGTGTATCTAAACAATTTAAGACAATTAAACTGCTTTTTCAGTAGATACGAAGAGAAACTTGGTTTCGATGAATCTCCTGATATAACATTGTTAGGGGGAACTTCATTTCGAATGAAAG